TTCGCTGCCCTGGCTGCCCTCTGCCTTGTCAAGAAGTTTACGTGGGCCATGCAAGCCGAGCTCATCCGTGCCTTCGGTGAGCCTGGGGGGCTCTGGGGTTGGGGAGGGAGCAGCTGGCTTGGCTTTAGCAGGTGCTTTGGGCCCTTTTGTGAGTGGGGGGCTGCCCTGCCCGAGCCATGGCTGTGCTGGTAGTGGGGGCTTATGCACTGAGAGGGGAGGGGGCTGTGAGTGCTTGCTGCCTTTGACCACCTTCCCCCCCCCGCCCCCCAGGCCTGCACAAGCTGTCGCTGCCCGTGGCCCGCACACGCCAGCCCTGCAAGCTGAGCTAGGACAAGGTGCTGACAGCAGGGTTGGGGCCAGGATCTTGGTGACCCTTGGGGGGGCCTGCCCCTGCCCGTCTCAAAGGATTTGTTTGTTTTATGCGTTCTGAGCCAGAGAATCAAAGAACCCCAGAGGGGCAAGGACCCCACCACCCTTCACGGTGCAGGTGGCAGTTCCCAGGCACCCTGGTGCCGAGTAGGGACCTAGGCTCCTACCTACCATGTGCCCCAGCCTCTGGGAGCCTGGAACTAGAGGGAAGCTGCTGGGGCAAGAGGCCAGGCCCTGGAGCTGCTCTCCTGCTACCTCATCTTCCTCCCAGCAGGGGCTCCGGGGCTACGTTTTACATGTTCAAAGTGTCGCACTACAGCTGCTGCTACCCAGCCCTGCTGGCTGGGATGGTGGCCCTGGCCCTGTACCCATCTCCGCCTTGCTTCCTGAGGCTGGTGCCTCGGGCACATTCACATACCTCGCAGGAGCTTCCTGGGACACTAAATCGTGCACCGTCCGCAGTTTTTAGGGATGGGGTGGGGGGCAGGTGTGGGTTTAGACCGGGGCAGAAGGAAGCCCCTGGTGCAGGGGGCTGGACCAGGCTTGAGTGTATGGGGCGGGCAGGGGGGAGAAGGGCAGCAGGCCTGGCTGGCACCTCCCAGCGGTGAGGAGGAGGGGACCAGTCTCAGGGTGTGAATCCCAGGCCTTGTCTGTTACTGTGAACATGCAGGCAGGGGAGGGGGCAGCTAGGCCCCTGGGCTGTTCACCCCTGCCTGCCCCAACTGTGTTGAGTGTAAGAGTGTGTTGGGTCTGTTGTTACTTGCCTAGAGTAATAAATCCAAGTGGTGTCTTTTTTTTTTTTTAAAGAAAAAGTAAAGCTCTTTCTTGGGGGGGTGGTCACCTGGCTATGGGGGCCAGTTCAGGGCCTGGCACAGTCAGCCCCTCTATGCCCTACATGCCTGCCCCTGCCCAGGGTCCATGGTGTGTGTGCAGGGCCAGGGGCTCCTGGTAGCAGGGCCCAGCTTGCACATGTGTGTATGCACATGGACCAGGCACACTTGTTCACGTGCCTCCTCCCTGCTCAGCATGCGGCTTACCTAGTGGCTCCCAGCTTATAATTAGTCCTCTTCCTGCCTGGAGCTAATGAGTCTGTCCCCCGCCCACCTCAGGGGGTGGCGGTAGGGAAGGAGGGAGGGCAAAGGTGAGGGCTGGCCATCCGGGTGGGCGGGTGTGTTCCTGGCTTTGATGGGCTCATCTTCCCCCTCCTCCCTGCTGGGCTCATGGCCCCAGTCCCAAGGGTCTCCTATGGATGGGAGGGGGCTTGGACTGCAGAGTTGCTGAGAGCTGGGGGAATGAGGGGCACTGGCAGAGCAGCCCTGGGGGCAGCCATAGCACATGGGTGGCAGGGAAGGGGTTGTCGCCCCAGCTCCCTTCTGCACCCTTCCCCCATGCTTCCAGTCACTCTTCAGGGGAGGGAGTAGAGTGGAAGCTGCCACACATCGAGCCCACCCGCCCATCCTGCTCCAGCCCAACACAGGGGTGCAGCTGCAGGCTGCCTGCTGCAACATGGGTGCCTGGCCCTCACGCTGGCCCTGGCTGCCCCTTCCCACCGGGGCCAGCAGGAAGCACAGGAAGCCAGGTTTATATGGCAGGAAACAAGGCCGGTGCTGCCCACTCTCACCCTGGGCTGCTCTGGGCACAGGGCCTGGGGAGGGAGCTTCCAGCCAGAGGTGGGAAGCCTGGGCTGGTGGCCTAGCCCCAGCGCTGCCAGTGGCACCTGCTGCAGTAGGCTGCATCTTCCCCCAGCGCAGGGGGCTTGGGATGTGTAGAGTGGGGGAGTCTGGGGGTGGTGGGTCCCTGTGCCCCTTTACCCCAGCCTTTGCAGCTTCCCCCACTGCAGGGCCCAGCAGGCTCAGGGCAGGTGTGGGGGCTGGAGCCAGGGTGCAGGGTGGGTAGGTTGAGATCACAGCCCCTCATCCAGGGCTGGGGCTGCCTTAACGGGGTGTGGGTGAGGGGGCAGTTTGCGACGGCTTCTGGCGGGGGCCGGGCTCTGGGCACGGGGC